CTATGTAATGAGCCTGGACCTTCTGGTCGAATATATACAGAACCAAGCAAATCCAGCGAGACCCAGGTCGAGACAACGCCTCATACATAGCCAGGCATTCAATGTAGATATTGAAATTGTAGAAAGTAAACTATTAATATATTTTATTTACATAACGTAAAAACATACAAAGAACATCCTTGTTTTTTTTACAATCTAACAGCATTTGTTAGCAGATACAATCAAGTTTTTTCTGTTGTCAAATTTAGCAGATGTGGTACCAACATCGTATCCGGAGTCTGTCGTTACTGCACCTCAGTCTCCTGTGCGGTATGTACCAACCACACCGCGCCGTAGTCGGCTAACACAGGCAGAGCACGCTGCACTTCTTTTTAGAAATTCGGATTCAAATTGGAGAGCATTTAAAATTGACCAACATAGAGATTACATGGAAATGCGAAAAGATCAGAATATAGTAAGAGAAATGGGAGTGCAGGCTCAAAGGGAATGGCAAGTCATAGGTTTAACACCATTAGACTTATTAAATCAAGTAGTTAATTGTTTTTGTAAAGCTTAAATTTGTAAATTAGATATAATTTTGTAAAATAGTATAACTGTTATATATAATAATAATATAATTGTTATATATATATAATATAATAATATAATAAGCCTCTCAAAGCCCAACCCCACGTCTGTGTAAAACATCTAAGCCACGTGATAGGCGGACATCTGAAACGAAATTACCAATCAGTTGACCAAAAGGGCCATGGCAACCCCCAAACAAATGGAGAGAAGAAATAAAAGTAAACGTTTAATGTCGCTACCCGAGGGTGATCGTCGGGGCACGTCTGGAGCTGACGCTGGATGTGACAGTATACGGACCGTCAGTGGCTTCTCGTTGAACAGGCGGGCGAGAGCCGGGGAACCCGATAGGACCACAGCCGACCATAACCGAGATACCGATGTAACTTTGCAGAGCGGGGAACTTCCCACTAACTCTGCCGGTCCATTGGTAGAGACCATGACAAGTTCAGTAGACACTATTGATTCAAGAAGAAAGTGGTCAACAGAAGAGATACACGAATTAATGTTTTGTTACTACAAGGCTAAGGCAGAAGGAGTAGGTTTTATGAAGCGTTTAGAAATGTATTTTAAAGAAAGAAATCCAAATAATCCTAAGATACATAAATTCACAGACAACACACTATCCAACCAAGCCCGAAGCATAATCAACCGAAAATGGGTTTCAACACAGCTATTACAAGAAATTAAAATGAAAGCAGAACAATCTAATAGGGAAACAAACAGTAATTTACCTGACAACAATACAATTTTAGTTATACCATTACCTTTAGTGAACAATACACAACCTACACTGACGACCGTACTAGAACATACACCCACAGACAACGTCAATGTTTCACCTCACACACAGGCTAACCAACTACTAGACGATGAGATTACAGATATACGTACAGATCAGTACACTTTAGATGAGATAGGGACTTTTAATATAGATATGCATACACAGCACACACAAAGCTTAGATGAGCCCGAGGCAATTATTTTACAGTTTTTACAAGTACTATCAGAAACAAAGGAGACATGTATAACAGACCGACCTTGTCTACCAAAACCAAAATTTAATAAAACTTTCATCGCCAATTTAGGTAAAATTAACACATACATTCCTAATTTATTAGATACACATAACACCTTACGAGAACTAAATAACATAATTTATGCAACGGCAAAGACACTCATTATTGCCAATGGGCAAAAGCCATTCACACCTCGCACTACAATAAAACCCAGAAGTGATCCNTTGCGTGGACAAAGATTTTCATCACCTGAAGAAGCTGTGGACCCCAACTTCCGAATGGAATGGTTGCTTCAATGATTGGTTCCACCGTATGGAAAAATGTGTCAAATTTCGCGGAGAATACTTCGAAAAGCAATAAATACATTTTTAAATAGTAATGTTGTGTCACTTCGTTAATTCCCGAAATTTTCAGTGCCGCCTATGTACCTACTGTACTTCCACATGTCCAAAATGTGGTACAGTAGGTACACATAGGTTATATAATTTTTTTGGTAATTTACCTTTTCATTTGGAAAGCAATTTATTAAGTATTCGATTTTGATGTAATTAAAATAATATTTGCCGTGAAGTAGGATGACGAATTTGGTTTTCAATTTCACATAAAATAGCTTGTGCTGATGTTTTGGAAACACGAAAAAACCGTATGAATTTTATAACGTCCCACTCATACCATTGATTGTTTTTTGTACGAATAACGTACTATAATATATATATATGTATATATATGTCAGCACGCGCCAGGGATGACTAAGCGATAGTTTCCGTCATCACTCGTATTCGATTGAACTCAGTTCAGTCAATAAAACTTTCCGAATAATAATTATTGAAACTCAACACACACAACTTTCACAATGACAGGGTAAATCGACAGTTTCGTTTTACATACCGACTGACTGACTGTCAGAGACTGACTGACTGTCAGAGACTCACTGACTGAGACAGACGGAATGACTGTCTGACACGGAATGCCACGACTCTGTCCACGTACCGCCATTTTATACTGTGGCGTTACGGAGTCTACCCTACATTTTTGTGATATTTATCAAAACAACATTTCATCATTTAAAATAATAGTCAAAACCACCGTCTTAATATTACTAAAACTCGTTATCCACGACATATATATATTTATATTATTATAAACCATTTAAATCATCGATATCTGAATCTGAATCACTATTGTAATATTCCACGTTGCTGGTTAATATCAAAAACACTCAAATACAAAATCTTTAACGTTATTGACAATGACATATTTACATCTAATCCATGAAGGAAGGTTTAAACGCCCCTCTGGGAAGGTTTAAACTTATTGGTAGTTTAAACTGTGTTGGGTCGATGATCTGTCATTGATATTACAAGAGAAACGAAAAGGACAGATTAAACTGTGTTCTCTAGTTTAAACTACGATTGATATTACGGCCCTTAGGGCCTGTCCGCACAGCGATATTTCACCGGTTTTTATTTGTACACACTGCGAATAAAATTTCGTACTATTTTCGTCAGTTTTAATCAGTTCTCGGCTGAGACGCACGTCTAAAATGGACAACCGAACAAAAATTTTAATTTATCTAAAGCTAAAGCGGCGTAACAGACGTATCAAAAGATTTCATGAGTATTGGATTCACCCAATTACGGCATTAAGACCCATGAAAGGATTTTTCTACATAAAATATCAAGAGTTGCGAAAATACAGCAAAAAGTTTTTTGGCTATTGCAGAATGACAAAAAAATCATTCGATAATTTACTACAACTAGTTGGTCCAGCGATCACCTATCAAGATACGAATTGGAGAAAAGCAATTTCACCTAAAGAAAGACTCGATAACTCTAAGGTTTAGTTACGTACCTACCTACTTAAGCCTACCTACAGGCGCGTTATTATCGGTTGATAAGATCAGATGCGTTATTGCCATATATTAAATCGACCGATAATAACGCGCCTCTGTGGGGGGGGGGGGGAAGCTTTACAGTACAGTACCGTCAGGAGCAAAATGTTCTAGGCAACATTCCAGTGAATATTTAATAACTGACAAAGGTAAATAAAAACAAGGATTAATCATACATCATCATTTATTAAACAGAAATTAACTTTTTTTTTATTGCTTAGATGGGTGAACGAGCTCTCAGCCCATCTGGTGTTAAGTGGTTACTGGAGCCCATAGACATCTACAACGTGAATGCGCCACCCACCTTGAGATATAAGTTCTAAGGTCTCAAGTATAGTTAAAACGGTTGACCCGCCCCTTCAAACCGAGACGCATTACTACTTCACAGCAGAAATAGGCAGGGTCAAGAGGTCCTACCATCAGATATTACGCAAATTATAATTTTGCGGGTTTGATTTTTATTACACGATGATATTCCTTCAACGTGGAAGTCAACCGTCAACAATTGTTGAATACGTATTTTATTAGAAAAATTGGTACCCGCCTGCGGGATTCGAACACCGGTGCATTACTCAACACGAATGCACCGAACGTCTTATCCACGGCGACTTCATTTAAATAAAACATAATCTTTCATATCAATAGCACTCCCCTCTACTAGATATGAGGATTGGCTAAATGAAGTATTTGGAAAATTTGAATTGTGAAAGAGCGAATGCTGGGTTTGAGATGGATCAGGCTGAGATTGAGAAATGACAGTAGTATTACGAGATAGAATTTGGGGAGAAGGAGTTTGACGGATAGTATTTGGACAGGGTGACGGCGTATTTGGGTTGTAAGATGAATACGATGAAGATGATGGTCGATACTGCGACAAAGTGGAACTGGCTCTAGGTGACATGAAATTTTCTGGTGAATATTTATTTGCGCTGTTAAGTGCATTCAGAATTTCAATTTTAGCGTAATGTTTTTGCTCCGTTGAAAATTTTCTGACCATTGGTATGATCATTTCACAAAATGAAACATCCTCATCATATTTTTTGTCCTTCAATAATTTCAATATTTCATCCTCGCAATTATTTTGAATTCTACCCTTTTTACGCATGCTCGTTTTAAGTTTTCTATTTCGTATAGCTTCTGAGTCAGTATCTTCGTCGTCGGTTTGATTAGTAAGGTCTTCGGCATTGCTGTTGGTGTTTTCTGTATCTCTGATATTGTTTGTTGTATCTCTTAAAAAAGTAATTTAATTGTTATGTAAACTTATGTAGGTGCTGACTTGTCTGTTTGTAATTTATATTATTGGTATTACATATTTTTTAATGATTATTGCAGGTATTTGGTTTCAGGAAATAGCTACTTTTCGCTGTATTACGAATATCTTATTGGTATCTCTACTATTGGCGAAATTATAGAAGACACGTGTGAAAAACTATGGTCATGTCTACAACCTTCATACATACATGACAGAACTAGATGAAACTGGTCCCATTACTGCTGAAATTGTCCATAAAATAACCCATTTTCGACACTGCTTAGGAACGGTGCATGGAAAGCATATAAGGTGCGAAGAGCCGGATTGCGCGGGTTCCGAGCTTTATAATTATAAACGATATCACTCCTTGATTTTAATAGCGGTTGCTGATGCAAATTATTATTTCATCAGCGTTGACATAGGTGCTTAGGGCAGCAGTAGTACTACAATTTTTTTAAATTCTACATTTTTTTTTATTGCCTTTGTACACAAGTTTGGCACAAGTTCGTCAATTCAACATGCCACCATTGAAAAACTGCGTGGTGCAGAAAACTACTCCACGTGGAAGTTCTCCATGCGGATGTTATTAATCCATGAAGAGTTATGTGATTCCGTCACGGATAAATGGGAATTGACGGAAGCCATGAAGAAAAGAGCGAAAAGTCATTGGCACGTATTGCGTTGTCGGTGCAGCCAGCGGTCATCCCATGCATCCGCACCGCCACCAGCGCACACGAGGCGTGTAATAACCTAAGTAAGGCGTTCGGAGGGCGCGGCTTGTATAGGAGACTTGGCATACTGAGAAGTCTCTTCGGTGTCAAGTTATCGTATAGCAGTTCAGTTATCGGATAGCAGTTCCATGGAAGCCTACATCAATAAAATTAAAGAGTTGGCGTGTCAACTGAGTGAAATGGAATCCGCATTGGATGATGAGTTTATTGCCGTTATAATGCTAAGTGGGCTCACAGAAGATTTTGACCCCCTCATCATGGCAATTGAGAACTCAAATGTAAAACTCACCACGGAACTTGTCTCAGGAAAACTCTTGGCAGAAAACCAGAGGCGTGAGGAGAAACAAGATATCACTGCGTTGGTAACCAAGAAGCCACCGAGATGCTTCAAGTGCAAAAATGTGGGTCATATTTCTAAGAATTGTTCCAACAAAGGAAGCTTCAAGGAGTCAGCGGACGTAGGAGGCAACAAAGGCAAAAATAAATCCAGATATCAGACTAGGAACAATCCGAAGCAGAATATCCCAAAGGACAAAGCGCTCTTTGCAGCTCTGTCTGTAAAAATAAGTAGTGATGTGTGGTACATTGACTCCGGTGCTACTAATCATATGTGCAATGATAAAAAGTACATGATGGACTTCCGACCTAATAGTGTGGATGTGAGCATCGTGAATGGTGAAAAGCTACGAACAGGTGGCATTGGACATGTAAAAGTATTTGAACTTTTACATGTCCAATGCCACCTGTTTGAAAGACTGTATAAGAACAATAAGTGATGTGTATTATGTTTCTAATCTTAGTACGAACTTATTGTCAGTAAGTGCCATAACAAAGAAAGGGTATACTGTTGAATTTAATAATAAATTATGTAGGGTCTATGACAAACATGAATGTCTAGTAACAGGTACACAGACAAGTGGTGTCTATCAGCTGGATACTGTGTCAGACAACGGCTGTGTCGTCGCTTCGGCTGTGATGGCTTCGGCAAAGATTCACACTGCTAATGCGGCAACGATGTTATCTCAGGAGGTATGGCCCAGAAGACTCGGGCACCTAAACTCGAGGAGTATGCAATTGCTACAAAAAGGTATGTCTAGTGGCATTTCATATAGTTTGTCTGATTTTAAACAGTGTATTCCTTGTATAGAAAGTAAACAAAGTAGACTCCCTTTTCCCAAAAAGTCACACACTAGAGCTAAGGAAAAATTAGGTCTTGTACATAGTGAGTGACCTTTGTGATCCCCTTCAGGTCCCTTCATTCAGTGGTGCTAGGTATTTTCTAAGTTTCATTGATGACTTCTCCAGGAAGCAATATGTTTATTTTTTGAATACAAAAATGAAACTTTTCGGTATTTCCAACAATTCAAAGCTCTTGTTGAGAAAGAAACGGGAAAGGAATTAAAAATACTTAGGACTGCTAGGGGCGGTGAGTATATGGGTGAGTTTCAGGAATTTCTCAAGAAGAATGGCATCCAACACCAGAAAACTATTGCGGATAGTCCGCAACAGAATGGTGTTGCTGAACGGGCCAATAGGTCCGTCATAGAGAAGGCATGGAGTATGCTGCGGGATCCTAGGCTGGGAATGAAATTTTGGGCTGAGGCTGTGAACACTGCCGTATACCTTAAGAACCGAAGTCCAACCAAAGCTGTGATAGGAGCTACTCCGGAGGAAAAATGGTCCAACAAAGGTAAATCTGCACCATTTATGAATCTTTGGATGCAATGCCTATGCAATGATAAAGAATAGGAAGAAATTAGAATCAAAAAGTAAACCATACATATTTGTGGGCAACAGTTAGGAGTCAAAAGGCTATAGACTCATAGACCCACATGATCCCACGTTGTGTTTTTGCCCGTAACATAGTTTTTGTTGAAACAAAATTCTATGAACAAAAAAGTGTGTCACATGATGAAAATTCAGACCAACACATGTTTGTTGACATGAGTTTAAATACAGATGGTCCTCATGAGTTGGAGCTACCCACTGTGAGTTCTGATGTTTCTGATGACACAATATTATCACAGAGCGGACACAGAAAACAGAGGCATAGCGCAACCACATTGGACGGTTCTGATAGCGGAGAAACGGATTATGATGCAAATGACTGCTTGGATGAAACTTATGTTCCAGGGGACGATTCACTAGTTGAAGCAGAGGAGACAGATTATTCATATGAAGATTTGCAAGACTCTCCGCAGCAAGCAAGAGGGCAAGCTTCGTGAGATTAGTCGACAACCCTGATGATCCCCAGACTGCAGCCGAGGCCTTAAACGGGCCTGAATCGAACAGTTGGAGAAAGGCAATGGCAGATGAGTATAATTCCTTTGTTAAGAACAAGTGTTGGACCCTGACTGAGCTTGAACCCAGCCACAAACCAGTCAAAAGTAAATGGATTTTCAAAAGAAAATATGGAGCAGATGGAGAGTTACTAAAGTATAAAGCTCGTTTAGTGGCCAAGGGTTACACACAGAAGTACGGTATTGATTACCAAGAGACTTTTTCACCAGTGGTAAGGTACTCTACAATTAGGATTTTACTTGCTTTAGCAGCTGAACATGGCCTGTCCATTGAGCACCTGGATGTCAAAATGGTGTTCCTTAATGACGACCTCGAGGAAACTGTATACATGGAGCAGCCAGAGTTCTTTCAAGAAAAAGGAAAAGAGAACATGGTGTACAGGCTAAATAAAGCTGTGTACGGCTTAAAACAGGCATCCAAGACATGGTATGACAAAATTACAAAGATTTTGTGTCACAAACTACTATTCAAGCAATTAAGCACTGAGCCATGTGTCTACTTTAAAAGTGAAAATAAGTCTATGATGATAATAGTTCTCTATGTCGATGACCCATTGTTTTCACATCCCCCAACTTTCAAGGAAAACAGAAAATAAAGAGAGCACTGGAGGAAGAATTTGATATCACTGATTTAGGGCCAGCACAACATGCGTGTATATTGGGCATGCAGCTGAAAGAAATAGGTGATAAAATTTGTCTTAATCAAACTAATTATATAAATAAGTTGTTACAGAAGTTTCGAATAGACGAGTGTAAGCCTGAACGCACACCTATGGAGACTGGTCTAAAGCTAGCCAAGGAAAAACAGGCGGATCAGATCTATGACTACAGGGGCTTGATTGGCTCTCTGATGTATGTTGTTGTTTGTACTAGACCGGACATCAGTCACGCAGTAAGCTATCTCAGTCAATTTAATAATTGTTATGGTGAAACCCATTGGAAAGCCGCTAAACGAGTGTTATCATTAAAAGTTACAATTGATTTAAACCTTATTTTTCTAAAAGTGGTATGGATATTTCTGCATATGCTGACGCTGACTGGGCATCTGACAGCATGGATCGTAAGTTATTCACAGGCTTTGTATTTCTTATTGGTAGATCTGTTGTTACTTGGGAAAGTCGCAAGCAACGCACTGTATAGCTTAGAGAGACTATTCGTGACAGGGAAGATCGAGGGAAAAAGACCGCGCGGGCGCAGTCCGACAAGGTGGTTCGACCAAATCCGCACCACACTGGAGATCCTATTCCACGATGCCCTTCATGCGGCCAATGATCGGAGGCGCTGGCGGAACATTACAAGGAGCAAAATCCTGTCGACATGATGGTCACGACTCTCAGCAGTGAGGAAACGACGCGAGGAGGAGTTCTGCGGCGGATGAATCCCTAAAAAAGAAGAACTCTGCTGTCAAGAAAATCCCTTCTCCTCCATGGTGGGATACAGAGTGCACGGAAGCTATTAAAAATAAAAAAATACAGAAAAAGACTTTTTTCGCAACATCAATTTGACTAACTTTCTCCAAGTACGTAATTTAGAAGCTGGTACAAAGCGGTTACTTAAAGATAAAAAGCGTAAGGCATGACGAAATTTCTGTTCCTCTCTTTCCCCAGAAACTCCATCATCGGTTATTTGGAAGAATATGAAAAAATTTAGATGTTCACGTTCACCAGACAACCTAAACAATATTTCAACTGCTTGGGTGGATCAATTTTTAAACAATCTAGGCCCCGCAACTGTTCCATCCTCTGATTTAATACCGTTAGATTTTTATTTATGGATGGAATTCCCTATTCTTTTATTTGTAAGGCGAAAAAGTCAACACACCTCTATCTTCTTAATTTGTTAAACCTAATATATAGCATTGGTACTGTTCCACCAAAATGGAAACATCAAATAATCATTGCTATCTCTAAACCAGGTAAACCAGGACACATGGTGTCAGAAGTAAGGAATTTAAGGAAATTAAGGAAAATATTAAATAGAAATACAAAAATATCCGTGAAATTATGTTCAAAATGGATAAAGTCGAAAACACACAACATGGCGGACAGGGACGCGCAAGTAAGTCACTTAATGCTACATCAGTCACATATGGGCTCAAATCCTTAGACATGAGAAGCTCGAACATGCCTTTAACTTGGAAAAACCGGTATACTCAATTTAAAATATACATGCGAGCTAATAATCTGGAAGATGAATGTGATCAACGCAAAGTCGCCATCTTATTACATCACATTGGGCAAGACGCTTTAGTGATATTTTATTTTAATGGCGGAAGTAGTCTGGCAGTATTACCATAGATTACATTATTTACCTAACATCTCCCCTTTTAAGTTAAAGACTACACTTTCCTTTTTCAGGTATCACGGTGTCTTTGGAGACAGGTTTTAGTATGTGCTCCCGATTTCTCCTGAATGTTCCTTCTGGGGACTGAATAGTATATATAACTACGACGTTCGTTTTCTGCTTGTTTTATACGACCTGGAACCCATGAACTATTGGGCTTGTGTTTGAAATATATTTTATCACCAACTTGTAAATCTGACAACTGTTTTGTGTGTTTATTATAATAAAATGTTGAATATTCTTTCTGCTTTTCAATGTTTTTAGATAATGTTTTAGGTGGTAATTGAGTGTGTGACTGGTATTTTAGATGTGCTGGAGAATAACCACTTTGTTTTGGTGTATTCCTGTACATAAGCATTGCAATTAAAGATGGCGTTAACGGTTGAATTTATTTATCTGTTAACTGGTAATTGATAAATTTTCTTACCGATATTTTTATTGGTTGAAAATACCGGTAAATCTTTTCGTTGAAAAATTAATTTTGCTAATGTTAAACTTGAATGGTAGAGTTTCTTACATTTATTTTCGATTCAGTGAACTTTCCTTCATACTTCTACACTGTAGAAGTAAGAAGTAGAAGCTACAGGCTTAGGGCTGACTAGCTTAACTAATTAGTACGAAATGATAATATCTTATAATAATATTTATTTATACGCTAGTTTTTTTCCTATTTTTCTGTTATTGTTATTTAGAACGTAATTACTTATTTACATTTTTATTTATATCAACGTAGTTGTTTTTTTATTAACTTATTTAAATATTTCACAGTAAATTAAATTTTATTACAGCTTAGGAACATAATTTGCGCCACTTTTGATGTTGTGAGACGAGTTCTCCGATCGTTTATAATATATCCTGCCTTAGAAAAGGCCCGTTCACAAGAAACTGATGTCACCATAATGTTGCATTTGGTTTTAATTTTTTTATATAAAATTAGATATATACATTTGTGTATTCGCCACCAATCTAATGTACAGGCTTTTCTAGAAATTACTTTCTCCTTAATATACATCTCCAGTTCTTTTTCAGCTTTTGTCTGCGCTGTCTTGGGAGCATGCGAAGTTATTATCTTTAAATCAAATTCCCCTCATATAGACAAATCATCGTCATCAATATTTTGCTGGTCTTGAATATCTGCCGCCACTTCTCCACTAGTTTGAATTAATTTTACCATCAATGCTACAACGAATGCTTTTGTTTCCTCTAATGACTGAGACTCAGAGAATGCCACGTCTTTGTAATGTGAATCCAATAGTGTGCACATGGTAATGTGTACATTGTTTATTATATCTCCTAGCTTTTCTGTCAGACTTTGTTTTAGTTTTCCTACCATATCAACCACAGGCGCATAAAAAGTTCTGGATGCCAGCTGTCACAAACATACATGAGACTCGAGACCAGGACCATATCGGTACTCGCGGTAAGATAATTTTCTCCACTCATTATCTTACTGACCTCATAAAATGGTTTTAAAACAACGCACATTTGCTCGATGCACTCCCACTCTTCGTTAGGTATTATAGGCATAGAGATATTCATAGTAACAACTGTTGCTTGAATTGCTTCCTTTAACGTATAAAACCTCTCCAGCATTTAATAAGTGGAATTCCACCTGGAGGAAATGGCTTTTACAAGGCTCCTGGGCTGTTGGACATTCAAATTGTTAATCTGATATTTCATCAGTTTTTCTTTGCCAATACAGCTCTTTTTGAAAAATGATACCGTTCTGGTAACCTTGTCTATAGTATCTTTATTTGTTTTTAAAGCGTCCTGGACTATTAAGTGTAATTTATGCTCTAAACAGCCAAAGTGATTCCAGTTTAAAATAGAGCTAGCTCCTAACATGTTTGTTGCATTGTCTGACACAAAAAATATAATCTTTTGAGTTATACCCCATACATCTGCTATCGTCTGGAGTTCCTGCGCACTTTTAATAGCTGTATGACTGCCATCGAGTTGATCACATTGTAGTAAAATGGATTTCAATTGTAAGTCTTCAGAAAAAAAATGAGCTGTGACACCCATATATTGATCCAAAGTTCTTGAGGATCAACAGTCGACTGTAATACATACATTCTCTGCATTATGCTTAACATAATTAAGAAAGTATTGCTTACGCTCTTCATGACAAGCAGGTAGCAAAGACGACGATATTGTCTTTCTGCTCGGCAAATCGTAGGACGGATTTAAGGCATGTACAAATTCCTTAAAACCAATATCCTCAACAATTGAAAAGGGTTGACAATCATATGCTATAAGCTTGATGAGGCATTTGTCTATAATTTTCTTATCACCTGGGCGAAGCTTCTTAGGTAAATAGGACGACATCATGCGTTGTACTTTATTAGGCGGTTCATGAGATGAGGATGCTGCAGTTGTAGCCCTAACGGCTCCACCACCAGCGCCACCATCACCACCACCACCACCACCACCACCACCACAACTACCGCCGTCGCCACTAACTACTACTGCCGTCACAACTACGAGCCCCATCACCAGTTACAACCTTCCTCTGACAATGAAATTCACCACTTGCCCTAAGTGTTCCTCGTGTCAAATTTGAATATACGCTGACGTGCTTTAATTTTAAATGAGATTTCAAATTGTTAGTACTAGGTAGTACTAACAATTTGAAATCTCAATATAAAGGTTTATATGATAGATTTTTCTTACAATAATTACACACTGCAATTTTTTCCGCTCCCAAGCACTTTTCGAAATGATCCCATATTTCTGCATTGCGTTTCGGCATTTTAAATTAATTAACTTTAAAAATCCACAACAACAAAGTAAGCAAAGTCTCAAACACACAAAAACAAAGTCAAAACACACAAACACAAAGTAAAAATCTCTTAAAATACAAAAACACAACTTTACCAAAACAATAGAAAAGATGCACTGAGCCACCAAAATGTCAAGTACCAAACAAAATATTACGTTTAAAAAATCAACCAAACACGTCATATTCGCTATCGCTATCATTTTAATGTTTTAACAAAAAAAATTATCATTAACTGTAAAATACCAAGTTAAATATTGTGCTTTATTTTGAGGGGTATAGAGCATACAATGAAATCATCAAAATTCAATATTTACATGATAAGTTGAAAACATCTGCAAGGCGTAAATGAATCTTACGTGTTGAAATAAAGTTGAAACTTGCATATATATAATTTCCAATAATTGCCTATGCGACTACACGCAATGTGTTTGTTAAACGGTATTTTTAACCATTTTCGGTAATTTTATTTATCGAATAGAAGTGTTAATATTTTTACCGGTAAATTTATTGGTTAATGGTTATATTAGCCACCACTAATTGCAATCTGTATTGTCTGCTTTACATTTATTCAATACTAGCTGTGCCCGCGACTCCATCCGCGTGGAATAGCGACTTTGGGCAGCAGTTTTAGGACATATCTTTTGGTTTATAAGCACCGTCATTTAGGTATTTAGAAAAATCTAATTTAAAGTAATGCTTCTCTATACACGACATAGACGTATAGCCATCGGGGATCAAAGCATACAGGTTGCTAGGATTGCTAACATGTGACAGAGCTACATAACCGTGTGACCGAGTTGACTGTGTGAAAAGCAATGAACACACACTTATATCTTACACCCACAACTTTTAGCGTCTGACCTTGGGCTTTATTTATTATCATCACGAAGCATAGGCTCAATGGAAACGCGATCGGTAGTGAGTTGTGCCTCCCGTTCTTCTAGTGTCTCCCGAGACCGGGCAAGATTTTGCTGTCCGAACTCTCTGAGATCTCAGACGGATTTCCCTATCAATAAAGGTCTCAGACCAAGCGATAGTGCATGCGCCTCGCGATCGGCAGTGAGACGTGCTTCTCATTCTGCAAGTCTCTCCTGAGACCGGGCACTTACTGTCCGAACCCTCTGAGAGCTCAGACGGATATCCCTATCAGTAAAGGTCTCAGACTCAAGTGATAGTGCATGAGCCTCGCAATCGGCAGAGAGACGTGCTTCTCGTTCTTCAAGTGTCTCCTGTGACCAGATAATTGCTGTTCGAGCCCTCTGAAAGCTCAGATGTCACGAGAACGGGAGACGTCTCGATTACGCGAGCCATTTCGACGATGCCGAGAACATCCACGTGATGTACTTCGCGGCATTATTTAGGTGTAAATACACACGCACGCACTTTAAAATGACTATACACAAGGAAATATACGTAAAAAAAACACGCAAACGAAAGTAACAAAATATGGTGCGGGTAGTTGTGAATCAACGATATTCGACATGGGAGTCGTAACTGTCCGTAGAATATCGGTGGTCTGTTCAGCGCGCGCCTTATCGTTAGAACGTGTCGCGACAGCTTCAATCGTGCGCGAGCGCGATCTCGACCTCCCGCGACGGGCACTACGAGAGCGGTCCTACTACGCAGTACGCTGGTCTCAGACCCGCAAGCCATCCCGTGAAGTACGACCTCTATCGTTCGTATCGCGATTCTGTCTATCATCTCTGTGATCGCAAAAGCATGTCGTTTTCAAAATTTGCAATCGCACAAGAAAATTAACAAATAAAGTATGAAAGCATCAAAGTAAGCCGTAATTGTAAAACAAAACAAAGTTCAGAGTTTTTACGCTACTGTGGGCTATTTGAGTCATTTATCCCACTTCTGATTTTAGGAATCACGACAGAATGTTGAGCAAATAGGTCGACAAAACAAGTTTAAATAAAATGGCTTACGTATACCGAGTAGTCCGCAGACGTCCGTACCAAGCGCCGGTCAATGCTCAACTGCCGTAGCCGCGCCAAATACGGTGCTTTTATAGGCTTACTCGGTATAGTGCGTTTAGCTAGTGGGGGTACGTCTAACAGCTAGTGGGGTACATCTAACGATATAATAATTATTATTAAAAACAAAAAAATAATTAAATAATTAAAGTAGATTCCAGCTAAATATATCTCTAATTAGGTCATCTTCCAATGAATTAAAATATTTTTTTAATCTGTTACATAGTTGTCTATCGATTCTTCGAGATTTTGTCTTCGATTGAATAGTTTATGACGTTCCATTGTCACATTCATTTGAGGAATGAAGTGATTACTAAATTTCGACGCTAATTCTTCGAAGGATATTGTATCAATATCGACACTAAATGAATAAAATATCACTAACGCGTCTTGCCCAATGTGATGTAAATAGATGGCGACTTTGCGTTGATCACAGTCATCGTCCAGATTATTAGCTCGCATGTATATTTTAAGTTGAGTATACCAGTTTTTCCAAGTTAAGGGCATGTTCGAGCTTCTCATGTCTAAGAGTTTGAGCCCATATCGACGCCTCCAATTAACACTACGCTAACTCCAAATTCGTAGATTTACAGGAGGAGCGTTTAAACGAAAAAAGTTGATAAAATCTTTATTATTGCAGATATATTTATGGTTTTTTTGTGTAACTAGCTGATTTACTCTTGCTTCAAACCCCATCAATAATGATTAATTGTAATACTTTTAACATGGTGCAGCGATTTGCGTAAAAAATGAAAATTTCAAAATTTTGAGTTAGAGTAGTGTTCATTGGTAAGGAGGCAGTCTCCTCTCGCTGATGGTCACGGGGCGACCTAAGGGGGTTGAGGCTGCGCCGCACGCTACCGTCACTCTAGCGCGCTGGCACCAGGAGGACGGGACGGCGCGTCGGCGGCTGCGGACTGCGATACGGTCCGCATTTTCGTCGTCGCTGTCGTCGCCGAACATACTGTTGAAGAGCAACCCGGTCGGCGGTGTATCGGTTTCCGACCCGGCAGGCTGGTTCTGGCCCAGCGGGGTATCCCGGAACACCAGCGGCACCGCCCGGGTGGCCTGGTAGGGCCGCCGTACCGCGGAGACCGACGTCGTTGGTCGTCGACTATCGCCTCGACGACCCGTCGGTCGGGCGTCCTCGGGATGGCGCCGCGTGTCTGGTTGTAGTGTTGACCGCGGGAACCCCCCTACTCTGAACGGGTTCTGACCCCGGACGGAGATCGGACGTCGGGTGTAAGAGTGCAGGGGAGTCGTTTAGTGGGTGGGCCCTAAAATCCTTGGGCCCGCGATCTGCTCTCAACACCTGCAGATCGTTGAGTCTCACATACCCCGCGCGCCCCCTAGGCGCGGGNAAAAAAAAAAAAAAAAGTGTTCATTGGTGGCATCGATATGTGACTGATATAGCATTAAGTGACTTACTTGCGCGTCCCTGTCCGCCATATTGTGTGTTTTCGACTTTATCCATTTTGAACATAATTTCACGGATATTTTTGTATTTTTATTTAATATTTTCCAAGCATGTGTCAGAAGTGAGGAATTTGAACCATCATAGAATGGCCGAGTTGTGGCATAACTATATTTTATAATAAAACGACATGAGCTCTGCGTGTGACTTGTTTGAATGGCGGAAGTAGTCTGGCAGTATTTGCATAGATTACATTCTTTACCTAACAGTTCTATTAAAATTGATGTATGTTAAGCGTGTGGAGCGATTTTAAAAATAGCACCAACAAGAAAGCGGTACGCTTGTATAGATTTGCTAGTAGGACTGGTGGTGGACCTGCATTAAATACTTAACTGACTGAGTTGGAACAAACAGTTTTAAATGTTATTGGTATGCAGACCGCGACAGGTTTAGCGGTGGCTGAGGTAGGAATTTCGCAGGCTATTACTATTTTTAGCTGCTTGGTACATTTAAGATAATTGTTAGTTTACATGGGATTTGCATTTAATTAATTTCAGGATTTTGCTGTATCACAACCCCGAACTCCGGTACAATTTGGCGATACAGGTAGATCAAAAGGCCATTCAATAACCCTTTTATAAACAAATAGGATGGGACTGACTTTTCTTTTTGTTTGTAAGTGTTGAACTATGTAATGAGCCTGGACCTTCTGGTCGAATATATACAGAACCAAGCACATCCAGCGAGACCCAGGTCGAGACAACGCCTCATAGCCAGGTATTCAATGTAGATATTGAAATTGTAGAAAGTAAACTATTAATATATTTTATTTACATAACGTGAAAACATACAAAGAACATCCTTGTTTTTTTTACAATCTAACAGCATTTATTAGCAGATACAATCAAGTTTTTTCTGTTGTCAAATTTAGCAGATGTGGTACCAACATCATATCCGGAGTCTGTCGTTACTGCAACTCAGTCTCCTGTGCGGTATGTACCAACCACACCGCGCCGTAGCCGGCTAACACAGGCAGAGCACGCTGCACTTCTTTTTAGAAACTCAGATTCAAATTGGAGAGCATTTAAAATTGACCAACATAGAGATTACATGGAAATGCGAAAAGATCGGAATATAGTAAGAGAAATGGGAGTGCAGGCTCAGAGGGAATGGCAAGTCATAGGTTTAATACCATTAGACTTATTAAATCAAGTAGTTAATTATTTTTGTAAAGCTTAAATTTGTAAATTAGATATAATTTTGTAAAATAGTATAACCTAATTGTTATCTTCAATTATTATATTATTTATTTATTTATTTGGGAAACAAACAGTACAATAGAAACATATAATATTTTAAAAATATAGTTAAAACAATAACCAAATACGTTTCCACAATCAAAATTCAAAAGAGGAGAAATTTAGAAACTTAAGTTACAAAAAAACAAAAGCAACACAATACCCACATATTATTTTGTACATCAACTTAAACTATAAGACTATAATAATCATCGGACTAAATTACCTTATAAATATTTTAAAATAGCTTTTCTATATGCTAAAAGTGACAAGCAAAATATGTCAGCATTAGGAACTTAGCATCATACAACCTACAAGATCTATGGACAAAAGAGTTGAAAGCGTATTTCGTTCGAACCGTGGACATGTGGAAGGTCCGTTTAGGACGCGCGGAAATACGACTACATTTAAGTGAAAATTTGGAAAAAAGATAGCTAGTATCAATCTCACTATTTATTATTTTATATAAAAACATTTGATCCCTCAGTAGCCTACGATCGGCCAGAGATATAAATTCTGTCGGTTCTGGTGAGTTAAAGCGACGACAATGGTATGAAATATGCTTAAAAAACATTTTTGTGGACTCTTTCCAGTCGCTCAATATAAATGTTATATCTTCCACGTGAGAATGTTATAATAGTACACTTGTTAGTATTCACTGTAAGTTATTTTGACAGTAAACAAATAAGTTGTTCAAATCATTCTGTAATTCCAAACAGTCATTTAAGGACTTTATAACTTTATATACTTTTTTGTCATCAGCGTACATAATGAATTTGGATTTTTTGAAAACATTTGAAACGTCATTAAATAACATAGGACCGAGATGAGAGCCCTGAGGAACTCCCGAGGGAACAGGTGCAAATGAAGAACAAAAACCATTGAAAGTCACAGCCTGACTGCGATCTCTAACATAAGACTCAAGACATCGCAGCAAATAACCGTGACCCCAAGTCCATGCAATTTCTCAATCAAAATGTCAAAATTTATTCGATCGAACGCTTTGGAATAATCCGTGTACACTACATCATCCTGGTGACCATCCTCCATGGCGTTCAATACGCAATATGGCATTCAATAATCCATCCATCCTCCATGGCATTCAATAATCCAAAAACTCACAGAAGTTTGTCTCACAGAAGTAGATCTATGGCTTATAAAACCATGTTGCTGCTCTATAATATGAGGCTTAATCAATGGAAATAAAAAATCATAAACTATACGTTCAAACATCTTAGGGATGGCACAAATTTTAGAAATTGGCCTGTAGTTAGCTATGTTATGTTTATCACCGCTCTTAAAAACTGGCACCACGAATTATCGCTTCCAAATACGGGGCATAGCACCAGTTGATAATGAGAGATTAAAAAGAAGATGCAGTGGGTAACACAGCTGAGTGTAACATTGTCGCAAAAAAACATAGAAACATAGATACATTTATACATAGATAAAAAAAAAGACTGATGAAAGACTGAGAAAGATGCTATTCTTATTCTTTTATTTTTATTTAGGCTTTTTTCTTTTAACTATTGTTTATCTCCATACTAAACATAACTAACTAAAATAACAGAAAAAATAAAATCTAAATAATGAAATAAAGAAATGGATCAATGATCATATTATAATCTAAGACACAATTATTGCTGATATAATCTTCTAACTAATCCCTTAGTACCCTGTCTCTTATTAAATCGGCTGTAGAACTTGTTTCTCTCATCATCTCATCATGGCATTGGTAATCATCATTTTCTAGACTTTAAAAAAAATATATTAATAGGATACAAATGATTTTGTCGAATATTAATATCATTGAGTAAAATTTAAACTTGTATACATTTATAAATTCATACATACATTGTTACGACTGCTCTGGGGTAGACCGGTGTTTTAAATAAAAGAGTGGACTGCATTAATATTTAGTAAATTTATAATAAGAGTAAAACAAGTAAGTGTCGCGGGTGGTGTCCGTGCATCGACATACATTATCTGCATCGTCTACAGTATCATAATTAATGCCTCTATTATGCAAAACACAACGGGCTAGTATGATTCTAGCACATTTTAGAGGTTTATAATGAAGAACCCTGTCTTTATTAAGGCACCGCCAACGATTTTTGAGTTTTCCAAATGTGTTTTCAATAACAACTCTAGCTCTCATATGCTTCTGATTATAATTACTTTGAGGTGTATTTGGGGGTAGCATTCAAAATTGGAGTCATCAGCCATGGAGGTTGCGGATAGCACGAGTCTCCTGAAACAAAAATTAATACAGATACAATTTCACATAATCCTATCATATAATGATATTTTATTAACCAACCCAGTCTCACTTTGCTGTGGTTTTAATGAAGCTCTGGCATGACTAACCTCTGTAGTAGAGACAGACTACTTACTGTTTACCTTTATTCCAATATCGATCATGCACTTGTCTACCCTTTAATTTTACTCTTAATTTAACCAATATTTTGTTTACCTAAATTATTTTGGTGCAACAACTGCATGTATTGATTTAAGTGACTATTATTCCATATAAATGAATTATGATTTGCACCTCCGAATTTAGCATTAACGTTGACGATTCTATATTCATCATCACATAGTGTAAATATTATATTCATTTATCTGGGAAACCGAACGTTTTCGAGTGAAAGGGATGAATTTATGAGGAAGAAAGGGACGGAAGACGAGGGTCAGGTCAAGATGGCGATCGGGCATAGTAAGAGTGTGAACGACTGTGAACGATTACGACGTGTTATCTAATAAATTTTGTTACTTTTCCAAAAAACTGCTATTTATTTTGAGCAAATCCCACATTTATAATGCAGTAAAGTCATTCTTACAATAATTAGATGGTAAAGAAAAATTTTACTTATTTACCATTTGGACGTTAATAGAATGATAGTGTTTTCGGCAATAATACTGATGCTCTTCTCTTTTAGGAAGCCCAAATATTCTAAAATGACTACAGTCTATGCATCCAATTACACCTGGTATTTGATGTTTATAAAAAAATCTGAAATTGATAATATTATAAATACCATTGGAACTATAAGTACCTTATTAACCATTAGAAAGTATTCTTGTTATGATATCTTTAATACCTTCGACTAACTTCTTGTCTGGCAGTTGGAGTGTCTGGAAACTTAATATATTTGCATAACATATCCTATTATATTAGAGCTTCCGTTACTTCTTCAATATACACATTACACATTTTTTGCAAATCCCACTGGCCGCTGGTAAGATTCCCTTGCGTAGAAAAATAGCGCAGATAGTACGTAGAATTTCAAAATTTTCATAAAAAATATAAGAATGATGTATGTTTACGTATATTTTAATGTTATTAAAAGATATTACCTTGACTTCCAAGCTGACACGTTGAGATGATCTTAAATTTGTTAATTGTCTACGTTCTTCGCATAAGAACTTAACGTCTTCTTCGAAAAACGATAAATTCTCCTAAATTTGATCTCAGTAAGATTTGTTACTGGATTATTTGAATTTCTATTCTTTATCCAAATACTACACATATTTTTTATCCAAATACTAGACATATAGTTTCGTTCATCCTGTACTACAGCGGTCGATAGCATCTTCCAAGCAAAAAAATCACGTGCTGCCACGATGATCATCGAATTATACTTATTTAATAGGTACCTAATATTTTGATCTACTTGTATTGTAAAAACATATTTTTTGTATATTTTATGGCCTGGTAACGAGACCTTTATGCCAACGAACACAACAAAATCAACAAAAAGAACAAAATATGTTTTTTTAGCGACAACTTTAATTTGCTGAAGTAAAGTGAAGTGAAGAAATACTGACTTTTAGGCGGTAACGCGTAAAGCGAAGTTGTGTGAATTGTTTTGTTTTGTCTATATAGTGTTTCTTCAGGTTTAAATGTGTAATAACGGTGGTTTACATTTTGGTAATAAATGTGGGCAAATAAAACAAAGCCGCTGGACGTAGCTTCTCGGAAACTTCCAAAAAGTCCACTGAAAAAGTTTCAGTAAATAACCACCATTTTACTGATATTATATTTTATCCCATATCATTTGATCTCATTTCATTTCATGTCAAATCATCAATGTTTCCAATTAATCAGCTTTATTTAATTTCACTCTATATCATTTTTCATTTTAAAAAAAAATTGGCCTTATGGTAAGATATCTTTGCTTCTTCAGTTAAAAAAATGTAATATAGAAATACTCGATCAAAATGTCAAAATCCACTAATTTGTAACTCGCACTCGCACAAATGTCATTCGTGGTACTTCGGTAAAATTACTAGATTGCGAGACGGCAACGTTAATATGAACTCGCGCTCACAAAATAACACCGGGTACGTTTGCCGCTAGGGGCGCTGTTCCAATTGCATACAAATTTGAGCAAACTGGCTCGCTATCGAGAACGTTAAAAAACCCGCACCAAGCACACAGATATCAGCACGCTGGATTGGGGGATAATGGGCGAAATATGCAGTTTTACAACCTCTTGAAGAGGTTACTTGTTCAATAAGTGGTGAGGGATATTTAACCGGTTACTTATTCAATATGTTGTGAGGGATATTTAACCGGAAGTATTAAAAACTGTTTGTGATGAGTTTTTGAACAAAAAAGAATACAGACACTGCAGACTCTTTTATCCAGTAGTTGTGGAAATGATCACGTCTCTACACCCAGGTTTAAGAGAACGATTTTCTGGCGTCGAACACAGTAAAACCTTTGGTCTTTGTACGTTGTTAGACCCTAGGTTTAAATTACTGTGTTTAACAGTAAGTATTATTAATAAAAACAATTGACAAAGACAAATGAAGATGTTGAAGAGAACTGAAAAATTTTTGAAAAGGTTGGCGCTTGGAACAAATTCGACCAACTTCAGCCTAAGCGAGAGCTATCAGAGAACTCTACATGTATCTGGACGATGAGATGCTGCCTCG